AATATGTATCTTCCTGATCAGGGATTCGAATTGATAGAAATGGTTCTGACTCTTCAACATTTGTGAGGTATGTGTCACTTGTATGCTTTGGCATTTTTCACATGATGGTCTATCGTTTTAGATACCTAAGTCGAAAATCAAAAGTTTTGCGGCGGCCGGTCTCATACAAAGTTGGTAGGTCCTCTCGTGGATCCTCTCTTAATAGATTTTATTCATTCTATGATTGAGAAATTCATAATCGTCAATTTCCATAAATAAATATTTGAATGATAATATGAATTGAAGATCAACTTGATATGATCGTTTTCGTAGTTCAACATCAACTATGATAAACGAAATTAAAGTTCATTATTAATCTTTCACAATGTATTTCAGCGGAATTATGTATGAAAAAGAAACAATTATGAATAATAATAGAAGAAATACTTCAAATGAGTTTTTCATAAGTAATGACACAAAATAAAACAACATTAGTTCATAGTAGGTTAATGAAAGAAAAACAAATGAAGAAAATATTTATCGAATGTTTTTTTTAGGTGAAGCTTTATTTGAAGTAGCACAGAAACTTTGGACAAGATTCGTTTAATGAAAATTGGAAATAACGGATAAAATTTAACAAGAAATTCTGCATGTTGCTTCAGTAATCTTTTGAAATTAAAAAGAATTTTGAGAGATTTGATCTAATCGAGTGATCTTATTTAAAGTATTCAACAATTAACTGCTGATATAACAAATACTTTTATGATCAAGTCATCTTCATCAACTTCGATTAACAAAAGTAAAACGTGAACAACTTCAATTACATCGATCAACAATTCTTGTAAAAAGAAATGTTTTCCGCCCCACAAAAATATCAAGCACTTTTTTGGTTTATTTAAAGGATGCTTTATCTTTAGTAGTCTTTGTTCATGTTTCAAGTGTTCAAGAAAATCTTGATGACGAGTATCGTCGATTAGAACAAGTAGAAACATCTTAATCTTTTTTTTTTATTAAAAACTTTTTCTTGTTTATGCGAAGAATGTCTTGCTATTCAACATGATTTATTACGTGAATGTGATTTATGGAATTTTGATGAACTTGATAATATCAAAAAAATCACATCGGATGCGTCAACGAATCGTACGTAATGAAGATTTCTATAAATATTATTCATATCATATACCAGTTGAACAAAAGGTTAGGAAAATATCTGAAAACATTCAGATTATAAAAGATATTTCAGTCTACAATGAGAGAATTAAGGAGCATCTTCTCCTTAAAAACCTAAATTCCGTGTAGTATACATTGTATTTGAACAACACTTTCTATATGTGTTCCACCCATGGAAATACATAAATAAAAAAGGTCTGTCAACTTCAAGCTTTACTGTTCAGAAGTTCTCTAGATTTCCATGTACAAGCTTTTTTCAGTGTACTTCAATGTATAGACGTTGAAACAGTTTATTTCAAAGAGAATTCTTTATCACTACAGATGAGAGAAACGGATTTTTGAAAGTTTTCTTTATTTGATTTTGAAAATGTGCAAACCTAAGTGAATTTCTTTGTCCGTAGATCAATCATTCCAACAAAAACTGCCTTGGAGGAAAGCACAAAAGAAGATTTTTTTAGTATAATATTACTTAAATTCGAGATGAAACGTAAATCTATCACATGTCAATGGAAGTGCTTATTGATCTACATTAGATTATCACCGTTCGGCATATGTCACGGGATATAAGACTATTTCTACAGTTGGAGAAACTAATTAAAATAGAAGAGCAATTAATAAGAGATAACTGCACAAATCATTCATCAAAGCCTGAAAAACTATCGAAAATTAAAACTATTTTTATGAAGATATATACCGTTCATCTTCGGTGACATGTTTCTATGTTTATGCGAAAAATCTTTTTTTTTTTGGCGAAAATCATCATTTCTTTTTTAAGAGGGGACCATTTATAACAGGCAGATTACTACAGATATATAAACTCTTATTTCTGCATACGCCATGATACATTGGAATGAATATCACAAGAAATAGAAACTTACATATTGCAAGAGAGAACTTCTTTTCTATGATAGACATAATACGATCATCTCTTTTTCTGAAGAATTGATTCCATGTCCTAGTTTAAATTAGGCTATTCTTCTTCTATTGAATTTTTCAATAGATAATATCATTCACTTTTTTCCTCATTAATATCGAAACGAAAATTTAATCCACCAATTTCATTAGATTTTAAACAGTATTTTCATCGACAATCTCAACTTATCTATTATTTACTGATTACAAGTCAATCATCAATCGAAATTCTTTTAGTGTATCTCCACTAATAGTATTTAAAGAATGAAACAAATCAATCATCAATAGAACAAACTATTCGAGAACAAGGCCAAACATCAACAAATGAACAAACTAATTCAAATAAATATTAGAATAGAAAACGAATTATTTCAACCAATTTTATTATCAGTATGAAAGAAAACATTATCAAATGATAATATAATATCAACAGAAGAAACAACGCAAACTGATGATGAAGAAGATTCAATGCTTACTAATTTGAACAAGATCAAGATGAAACTCAACGTAAGAAATATATAAACCAGAATTATTTCTTATAAAACTTTGATTTATTAATTAGAAGGACAAAGATTATTAATAATTATAGCTCAAACAATATCAACTATTCGTCCATGTTATGTTCAATTTAATCTATTAGAGAATCGAAATGAGCAGATTGTCAATGAGATTCTTCATTATTTCGATACTTGTTAATCGAAATAAATTATATTAGAGCTAAATCATTTTGTTCAGCTTGTTCATTATCCTAAATTTAATTAATAGAAAATTTATTTTGCTTTTTCTAAAAGACTTCTATTTGACTTGTATAGTTAAATTTCGAATAATTGCACGACGAATTGAACCAGTATCGAATTGATGATTGGGGTTTTCATTCAGATGAACTTGATTGAAAAAGAGTCGCTATTAGTGGAGTATGAAGATTTAATCATTTGGATAATGTTTCATCAGTAAGCTAAATGAATATTTTGTTTTTCTATTGGATAAGATTTAAATTTCAAGATTTATTCTTGATTCATAATGAAAATTAAATTCAGAATTTTTATTATAAATATGCGTAAAACTGTTTACTCTATCATTCTGTAGACTTGAAAAAGTTTTCTAAAGTCAAACTTTCGCTACTTTCTGTTATTTCGATAGATAAGTGAAAAGCAGAATTGGGTGTGGGTATCATTCTCTTTCTAATACTCACACCTAAATTCATTTATTTTTCCAGACATTAAGTTTTTCATTATTTTTGGATGAAAATATATCTCAATGAACGGAAGAATTCTTCATAAATAGAACTTTCTCTAGTCCAAATCAGACCCGACAATTTTTTCAATAGTTTAATATCAACTGAGCTCGACATTTGATAAACTTGTATTTCATGTCATGGAAAAAGGGTGTGGATGTGGGCATGGTGAGTATGAGTGAGGGTGTGGTTGAATAGACGATTCGCACCCTCACCCCACCCACATCCACACCCTGACGTAGCCATTCCAACAGTTATTCTTGCTTACTGCACACTCTTTCAATCGAATCGTATGGCTAACTAATGGGATAATGATCAAGAGTATATTGAACAGTTTCAACAAATATGTATCAGTTTGGACATTGATGCTAGAGAAGATTATGACAAAAAAATTGCTAAATTACTACTTGCGACAGCTTTCTTTTGTTTAGGCTTACTCGACCAAGCATTTAAGTTGATAAGACAACTTTCAGAAACTATAACTGATTTAGCTGATGAATTAGTATCGATGTGCGGTATAAATTATCTTCTATCTTTCACAGACATACAACGTATTTTGGATCATGATTTAACACTTGAATTACTTTATGCATTATCTGAATATGGTGATCTAAATGAAAAAATTCATGTTAAACCACAGCTAATTCAACAAAAAATGTCCATATTTTTAATCCGTCATGGTTATAATTGTTATAAAATGCGTTCATGACGAATTAAAGAGAAAACAATTTTGGATGAATTAAACAAATGGATGAGCCGTTTACCAGTGGCAGATGTTCATGTTGATCAGCAGGAGACTACATAATTGCTTTCAATTGTCAAGAACTTCATACATAACTTTTTTTTCTCATGTAAGTGAAAATGACAAATCCAGAAGCATGAATTAATTGAATACTCTCCTTACGAGTATCTCAAACAGGTTAACGAGGATATGGCGTCTGTGCACTGTTTATATGTAAGCATATGATTGAAAGGATTCCATCAAAACCTTTTGTGGCACACCTGTTCACCACTAAAAATATTAAGCAAGCATATAAATGAGTGGGTGTAGACAAAATACTAACATCCATTCTTTCGATAAGAAACACATCTGAGCTTTCAATTCACAGCTTTTAAATCGATTTCGGTTTCGGTTCAGTTTACTTCTTAGTTAAATTGATACAGTTTAAATAATCGAAAACTTGTAATTCAAGAAACTTGAACAACTAGAGATGTTGGAAGTAGCAATAACAATATTAATACATTTTCTTCTCCTTCCTTGTCCAAGAAAAATAGAATGGAAACAAAGAAATCACATCTTTAGTGGATGTGGGTATACGTCTTTTCTTTATTCAATACACACACACCAGGGTTGGAACCGGTCCGGCAAACCGGTACCGGACCGGAGCGGACCGGTTGAAGAAGTCAACCGGGCCGGTAAAGACCGGAATTTCACCGGTTGAAATTTTTCAAAAATCTTCTTTGTTAATCCTGTCTTTGACCATAAAAACTAAGGTATCACATGTTTTTTCTGTCAGAATAGGTAAAAAAGTGCTCAAAACATATGTTATATTAATCGTTTTTCCTGAGGTTCTCTTTAAAAAGATTCATTATGATGAGCGTCTTTTACATGCGCCTTAAACTATTTCATATTTGGAGCGATTTTTTCTAAAAATCGGTTTTCAAAAAAAATTCGACATTTTTCCACCGGTTTTTAACCGGTTTTCACCGGAATTTCACCGGTTGGACATGTGATTCCAACCGGCCGGTTTCCGGCCGGACCGGACCGGTAGGATTTTTCAACCGGCCGGACCGGACCGTTTTAATATTTCTCAACCGGTTCCACCCCTGACACACACCCACACCCATAGCAGTCATTATTTCGTCGTATGCTTAAAAATATAAAATATCGACATCTACTATCGATATAACAAGTTGTCATAGTCTGAGGAATTTTTATTTGGATACAATGGCTAACATATCCTAATCCTCCCCCTTACCCTTAATAATAATTTTCTTTTGAAGACGAAATTCTATTTGATTTTCATGAAGAATATTATTAGCATAAAACTTTGTCTTTCTGTGTTCAGAAGCTTTCCTTTTTCTTCATGAATAAAATCACATGGATTATATGTCTGCTGACTTCAGATCATGTTGTATTCCAAAATCCGTGGAAGTGGGTTTTACAAAAAAAAAAAATTTTTTTGATTGTATTTTTGCAGAACTTCTGTAACTTATATTTTCAAATACAGTGCGAAAAACTGAACAGAGAGCCGTTTATTAAATCGAATCTGGTCTTAAAACTTAATTGATTGTAACGATCCAAATAGATGCTATTCGTACGTTTAAAAATCTTTCTTCTAAACTAATCTTCGTAGAACATGTATTAAAGATCCATCGACATTTCTGGTTTCGAGTATTTTGTGGCTGTTATATTCATGCCCATACCTACTTATTCGAAAATGCATCCATCTTCATTGACATAGTTCGTTATGAAAACGAATATCAAATACTAAAAATCGCCCATTAATGTCAAAAAAGTCTTTCCTGACATAGACACTATTGACTTTTGTATACAATTACAACATGGAATGCCTCCTTTAAGAGGAAACTCCTGCATAAATTCCGGATACCATGAAGGTTATGAATCATATTTCACATGAGTACTTTTGAGTGATAGTTCGGTTAATCAAGAATCAAACAATTCCATTTATTTTGAAAAAGCCTATCGTCACTTACTTATCATTTAACACATAAATATTTTCTAAAAAATCAAACGACCTGCCGTGTTCGACGTTATAACACCACTAGAGCCCAACGAGTCCCAAAAGTTTTAGACGCGAACCCGACGGTCTTCAAACATAATTGACAATATCTCAAGACTAAAAATCCATATAACATTCACATTAGTAGAATGACTTTCAATAAACATTTTACTCTTGCGATATGCTTATCATTGAGCTTTAATATTGTATATTTCCGTTGACAAAAGCAGATATTCAGTACTCAATCACTAGTAGGTATTCACTTGTAATCATTCTTTGAAAATCACAAACTCTAACTATAAGACATTCTTGTCACGTGAATGAAAGACAAAAACGAAAATTGCTTATTTTCTTTTGCACAATCAAAACATAATAAGATAGATACACAAATATTTAAAGAATCGATTCCGTTGTTCACCAAAAAATAATGACTATAGATGTTCATGATTTTCTTTGTCTTTTGTTACGCTCGATGAATTCTTTCAAACGATGTTGGACCACCGGCTTGATACTACGATCGTAGATACTTAGTGTGGTGAGTGTCTGTAAGAAAACGTGTGGATGATGATATGAAACAGATTAAGAGGCAATAATGCTCACCTTGTTATTTTGTAATGCATCAGCAAGATGTTCTGCTCCATCATTTCTGATCAAAGTTCCTTGCAGATGTAATGTGGTGAGTGTCTGTATGAGAAATTAATTATGAGTCGATAGAAAGAGATCAACGCAATATGTGGCTCAC